CCGGAGGGTGGCACTTGCAGGTCCCACGTTGTCAGGCTCAACCCTGTGGACCTTGGGAACGTGTGTCATGTTGCCTGTGGCCAGCCTGCTGCATGGGACGGCAGCCACGCAAGGCGGGGGTCTGGGAGGCGAGGGGCTGCGGTGGTGCTGTGAGCAGGAGGTTGGCGTCATGGCGGGAGCTGGCTGCTGCAGCTGGGAGTCTGTCCCCCCCACACACACACTGCACAGGGTGTGGTAGGGTTTTGGAGATGCATGCTGCAAGGAGGGGTGAAGCCCTTTGTTGGCTTGCCGAAGAAGTGGGACTGCAGCGGGTCAGATCCTTCTAAATGTTTGTGGGGGGAAGAAGCTTGTCCTGGGTGTTACAGGCTGAAGCGGTTCCCCATGTTTGGGATGAGGGGTGTAAGACGTTGCCTCTCCTCCTTGCTCATCGGGTCTCTTCTGCACTGCGACAGGTACATCATGACAAGTGGCCGGACTATGGAGTCCACCAAGGAGTTCTTCCTGAAGCATCGCTATTTTGGCTTGAAGAAGGAAAACATCATCTTCTTCCAGCAGGGCATGCTGCCCGCCCTGGGGTTTGATGGGAAAATCCTGCTGGAGGAGAAGGGCAAGATTGCTATGGCGCCAGGTCAGTGGCCAGGAGCTGGCGGGAGGGGTGTGTGGGGGCGAGACGCAGTGCTGAGGACAAGCTTTTGGAGCTGGAGCCTGTGTAGGGCAGCCTTGCAGCATGACGTGGTCCACGGGTGACGCAGGCTGGGAGGTGTCCGTCTTGGCAGGGAGGACCAGGGTGGGGTACGGCTGGGCCGGTGACCCTCCACCCCAGCTCTGTGGGGTAGGAAGATGAGCGTGGATGGCCAGGACAGCCGGGTGTTGCTGTGGCCCCAACGATTTGTTCCCTCCGCAGATGGCAACGGGGGCCTGTACCGGGCCCTGGGGGCACATGGCATCATGGATGACATGGAGCGGAGGGGCGTGCAGAGTGTCCACGTCTACTGTGTGGACAACATCCTGGTGAAGGTGGCTGACCCCAGGTTCATCGGGTTCTGCTTGGAGAAGGGAGCGGACTGCGGGGCCAAGGTATGGTTTCGGGGGCAGGGAGGCACCACTTCCCTGGAGCAGGGTGGGGTCTGTCCTGCTCCTTGCCTGTCTTCCCTGACTCCTCACCCTTCCTTCACCGGCTTGCCACAGTCAGGAGGGATAGCTAAGCACCGGGAGCTCACTGCTGGAGTAGCACGTGCTGCCAGAGTCCCACCTGCCCCTCAGGTCTGGCTTCCTGGGGGATGTGGGGTGTCACTGACCCCTGCCTGGCGCTGCTCCCCTCCTGCCTTGCATGGGGATGTGGCACCAACAGCCCCAGGGCTCACAGGTCCCCTGGGCCCTGGGGCCGAGAGCTGCTGGGGAGCCCTGTGAGGCTGCCCGGTCCCCACCCGGATGCTGGGCGGCTGCAGGGAGCACGGGCAGCCAGGATCCCTGCGGCAGGCTGCCAGCTGTCCCTGGCCTTGACGTCCTGGGCACTAGACCGGAACACGGTGGGTGCAGCTGACTGCTGATACTGAGCCCAGCCCTGTCTCTCGCGGGTAGGGTGTTGCACGCCCGAAGCTTTACTTAAAAGGCTGGATTAACAGCCAAAGGGGCCGTGTGATTGTGTTTGCGTTGGGCTCAGCTCTGGCAAACAGGTGAGAGGGCTTGCTGGCCTTGAAGCTTTCAGAGAGTGAGCTGGGAAAGGGAAAGCAGTTCCTCCTTCTGGCCCAAGCGAGAGAAGGAGGAAATGAACTCTGGCATGCAGAAAGGGGAAAGCCCTGTGTCCCTGCACACCTCCCTGCTGTCGTGGCAGTGACGGGTAGAGATTTGCTGGGGGGGGGTTGCATGCCCAGAGGGAGGTGTGTGTGGTGCGAGGAAGAGGAGGGAGGTCAGGTGTAGGGGGATGGCTCTGCTGAGCCAGCAGCCTCCTGCTTGTGCGCGGTGAGTTGGCTGTTCATGTGCGGGCTGGGTGCTAAAAATAGCCATGCCCTCTGCCAGCCGTACGCAGGCTTGGTGCCAGGTCCTGCCCGCACCTTCTGGGTGTGCCTGACACCATCACCCAGCCCTGCCATCTTGCTCTCCTCCAGTCACCATCGCCAGAAGCACCTGGGAGGGGAGGGCTCCAGCATCCCTATCCCTGCTGTCCTGTGCAGGAAAATACCTCCACAAGGGCTGTTAGATACAAGGGAGTATATTTGAAGTGCAGGGCTTTGGAGGTCTTTCCCTGACAGTGCTTCCCTTGGGCAGGTGGTGGAGAAGACCAACCCCACGGAGCCAGTCGGTGTGGTGTGCCGAGTGGATGGTGTCTACCAGGTGGTGGAGTACAGTGAGATCTCCCTGGCCACTGCCCAGAAACGGGGCCCAGATGGGCGGCTGCTCTTCAACGCGGGCAACATTGCCAATCATTACTTCACCACCGCCTTCCTGAAAGATGTAGTCAAGTAAGGGCCTGCCGGGGTGCTGCTGGTGTGCCAGAGGAGGAACGCCAGTGCCGAGCGGAGCCGGCTGCCCGGCTGCCTGCACCTTGCTTTCTGCTGGTTGAGCTCCAGCTGTTTGCAGGTGTGCTGGGATGAGGCCCACAGGGTCTGGCCCCTGCCCCTGCACGTGTGGCCTGACCCCTGCCTCTCTGCACAGTCCCTTCCTTGAGATAAGGTTTCCCCCAGCCATTGCTGGCTGCTGGTGCCAGAGCGCAGGCGTGCGGGGCTGTCCTTGCCTGGCTGCTGTGGGGATGAGAAGCCCGCACCTCGGGGCGGCTGAGGGTCAGGGCAGAGCAACCATCCTGCCACAGCAATGTCTGAGCCGGGGGACTGGAGATGTGCCTTGCTCGGGCAAGTGACAGCTCTTTTCTTGGCCTGTTGAAGCACTTACGAACCGCGGCTGCAGCACCACGTAGCCGAGAAGAAGATCCCACACGTGGACATCACTACAGGGCAGCTGATCCAACCCGAGAAGCCCAACGGGATCAAGATGGAAAAGTTCGTCTTTGACATCTTTCAGTTTTCTAAGTACGCCCTTTTCTCTCTTTGGGGAGCAGGCTGCTGGTTCTTGCTCGGGCAGCTCTGAGAGCCTTGGGGGGATGGCGGGGCTGTGCCCACCGGTGGTGCCCTGGGGTCAGGACAGAATGCCAGCTCCTGTGGTGTTCAGCAGCAGTGGACAGATGAGCAGGGATGTGAACAGCAGGAGGGACAGGCACTGTGTGCCCCTTGCTCAGCTGATGGGCCCCTCATCAGCCCTGCTCCTGGGCCAGATGAGCATCTCCTGACCCTACAGCCCAGGTCCTTCCCTCCCTCCTTCGTGGCTGTGAGCCCATGGGTGCAGGCTGCAGGGGGGACATGGCCCTGGCTCAGCCACCCTGGCAGGGGAGAAGCTGAAGCAACAGAGAGCAGCCACGTTTCCCAAACTTGACTGTCCTGTGCCCAGGTCCCACCCCCCCCAGGAAGTTCGTGGTGTACGAGGTGCTGCGTGAGGACGAGTTTTCTCCCCTGAAGAATGCGGACAGCCAGAATGGCAAGGACAACCCCACCACAGCCCGACACGCCTTGATGTCCCTGCACCACTGCTGGGTTCTCAATGCGGGGGGGCACTTCGTGGACGAAAACGGCACACGCATCCCTGCCATCCCTCGGTGAGTTGCTGCTCCTGGCGCTCCTGCATCCTTTTTGGGCTGGGTATAAAGCACAGGGCAGTCCCCAGCCCTTCTTCATTTCAGCACTCCTGAAAGCAGCATTGCTGGACCCCCCAGCCATGGGTCCCTTCTCCTGGGTGGTCCATGGGGCAGAGCCGGGTGCGGGCCGGGCGGTGGCAGCAGGAGGGTCGCTCGCTCAGTCGGCAGGAGCTTTCCTTCTTGATTCAACACCTGTGAACCGAATCCTGCCGGTCTCCATTGCACAGCCAAGGTTGCCCATGCAGGGAGGAGGTGGCTCCCTAAAGCCCAAGCACACCAGCAGATCTGTGCAGCAGCCAGGCTGGGGTAGTGGCATCCCTCGACCAAGAGAGCTCTCACCGCCCCTGTTTGGAGAACAGCAAACCCCAGACTTGTTCTGCTCTGTTTTTTCCCCACCCTTGCTAACCCTTGTTTATTCTTACGTAGTGTCACAAACGGAAGGTCAGATGCCACCCCAGCAGATGTCAATGACAAGTAACTATACCGTGCAGCATGCATGGTGGCGGGGCTGTGCTTAGGTACTAATGGGCTGTAGGTGAAGCAGTGTGCCAGGCTGCGGTCACCGCGATGGGTCCGTGCTGGTGAGCAGGTGCCCGTAGTGACTAACGGGGCCGGGGAGCTTGGGGCCGCATGCTGGGAGCGGGGCATGTCTCACTACAGGACCCTGCGGATGCCGCTTCTCACGGTGGTGGGCGGTAGGCAGTGTCTGCTCCCTCCTGGGCTCCTTTCTGCAGAGGCAGCTGGTGGGGCTAACTGGAAGGCACTTGTGCCATTGGTACAGATGCAGGGCAGCAGGCAGCCTGCCGCTGACTGCACACAGCCCCTGAAGGTCACCCCGCAGGCGGGATGCTGTTGGGAAACACGCTGGCGTGTCCCTTCGATGACACTCCCCTGTTCGTCACGCCACGGCGTAGCACAGCCTGGACTGATACCAGCCGGTCCCGTAGCCGGACACGGCTGCCGTCTCCTGGTGTCTGCCAGGCGTCCAGGCAGATTGAAACAGGATTAAAAACATTAAGTAAATGTCAAGCAGGCTTTGATATAGCATCTGCAAATCTCAGCGTAGGCGGCCAGCTGTGTTGTGTGACTTCAGCTCTTGAGTTTTGAAGATCCAGACTGTGACACCAGGGAAAGCCCCTGGCTCAGCGCTTGAAAGTTTACAGAAGTAAACGGGAAAGTTGACAAAAGTGTTAAAGCAACTTCTGTAATAGCAGCGTGTTCTTCTGTAAGCACAGGGCACGTCTGCGTGGCTGGTGAGCGTAAATGACTTTCAGACTAAGCAAGCTCGTTACCTTTCCCCCCCTTCAGGAGAAGTTGTATCTTCTGGTACTTTCTGGTGGGATGTGTCTGTTTTTAATTCAAGATTCCAAGTGCTTTCAAGGCTTATAACTAGGCCATCACACTAGTTATAGTGTAGGATAAAGGATGCACTTTATCTTACATTTATCCTTCATTGCCAGTTAATGGCAATTTTTTATTTAAATGGTTATCTTGAAATGAAGCCAACTCTAAGGCAAACAAGTGCAAGGGCGGGGTTAGGATGGATGAGTTTTATTTACTCACAGCTGGGACAGGAGGGGGCTAAGTGAGTGCGTGGCAGCAGGGATGAGCTTCGACCCGCGCGACCTGGGCGAAGCTGTCACAGATGGTGTCCTGTGATGCCTGTCTGGCTGTGGTGGCGAGCGGGTGTGAAGGGGCACCCTGGGCTGCCACCGTGGTTCCTCATCGGCTCCGCACGGCTTCACCCCCCAGCCAGGCTTACACGCCGGCTGGATCCAGGGAGCGTCCTGGGGATCCTACAAAGGCTGGTGGCAGAAGGAGCGGGGTCAGGGACCCCACGCAGACCCCTGCCCAGCAGTGCTCCTCAGCTGTTCTCGGGGCCAGCCTGTGGCAGGCAGTGCTGGTGTGGGTCTGCCATTGTCCTCACCAGCTCGGGCTCACGTGCAGAGTAGAGGAGCGGAGACAGTTGATCTAAGAGGCAAAGGCAGGAGGAGCAGGCAGTGCTGCAGGGAGTATTTCTGAGGGAGCAGAGAGGCTTACCCTGTGTCCTCAGGTTGTGCTTTAAACAAGGATTGTGTTTAAAAAAAAGACCTGTTGTGACCAGCCAAACAGGAAGGTTCTGTGAGTGCATCTCTCATCACCCCAAGGATGCGGGAGGAGGAGGAATGGGTGACTAGCTTACATGCAGCATCAAATATAGCGGGGCTGTGGTCCAGCAGGGGGCATAGGCACTGCTGTAGTTGCACACATGGAAAGGCACGTAAATACTCTTTAAAGCCTCATCTAAAGCTCTCTTCACTTTCAGTTGCTGCTGGTATCTAAACTTTAGCTCGCACCTCTGTGGAGAGCACGCAAGGCTTGACTAACCCAGGGCAGCTCTGTGCTGGTGGGGTCTGCGTGGGCCGGCAGCCACCAGTGCCCCAGACAGTTGCTGACCCCCGCTCTGGCATCTGCAAGATCTCTGGGCCCCATCCGTGTCCCCTGGCGGGATGTGGCTAACCCTCCTGACTTTTTATTTTTCTCTGCAGCTTGAAGGATGCAAACGACCTGCCAATCCAGTGTGAAATTTCTCCCCTCATCTCCTATGGAGGAGAAGTGAGTACTGGCCCTCCAGAGCTCGAGCACCCTTGCAGATTAAGTAGGCGGGTGGGGAGGCTGGCAGGGCACGCGTGTGAGCCCCGGCTGGGAAGGGTGTAAACCACAGAAGTGTGACTTGAATTCACTGTGGAGTTTTTCAAGGCAGTGTCCCCCAAGCTGCTAGCACAGGAGGGGACCAGAGCAGCTGCACCTGCGAGCAGCTCAGCAGGTCAACAGAGCAGATGATGCGTGGTCATCTGCAAAGCGTTCCTAATGAGCTGCTTCATCCTCCCTTAGGGTCTGGAAAAGTACGTGAAGGACCGAGAGTTTCGCGCACCTTTAATTATTGATGAGGACGGGATCCACGAGCTGGTGAAGAATGGGGTGTAGCAGCGGCGTGGTGCCCAAGCCAGGCTGCCTGTCCCGCCTGGCAGGCTGGGAATTTGGACACATGAAGGTTTATAGCTGTAACTGATAGGGGCTGATCCTGCTCGCTCTGGCCCTGTGCAGAGGAGGATGTAAGCCACTCGGTTCTTGGCATGTTGTATGCTTCTATTTATATTTTAATTTAAAAACCAAACACTTTATGGATTCCCCTGCCACGAAGCACAGCTATGGCGCTGCTCTTTGCACTCCAGGCTGTGGGCATTTATTTTTAAACATGTATATAGTAATAGTCATTGTACATGCAGAGGATTTTTATGGTACGGGGCTGGGGTTAATCTTGAATTTTTATTTTTCTCAAATCTACATGACTATTTTTTTTAATAGGGTCCTTGTCATTGCCCATGTCCTCCCTTTTGATCATCCTTTGTATGTTGCACAACTGGAAACACCCGATTAAACTCTTGAGTCCCTCCTGTCTGTCATCTGGTGTTTTAGTGATGGTGGCTTTCCGCAGAGGCTCTACTCCTAGAGCAGAGGTCTGACTGTGACATACCGAGTGCCCCGCTCTGCCCAGCTCAGCAGCAGCTGCTGCCTGGGGGGGTCGCAGGCAGGTCTTCTGGCCCATGGCACTCGTTTGCGGCGTTTCTGGAGGAAGTGGAGGGCTGCGCTTTCCTCTTGAGTTTTTGCAAGCAGCAGCAAGCCTTGAGCAGGTAGGAACGGGTGGGTGTGCAATGCTGCCGGGGCGCTCAGGGTGAAATCAGCCTGGCACGGTGCCCTCCAGCAGCACCGTGTGCCCTCTGCTTTTCCAGGGAGGGCTCTTCGGCTCCTGCCAGAGCCCACTGCCCTGAAGCGTGGTGTCCCCATGCTCTTGGGCAGAGTGGCTCTGCTGCCTGCCCTTCTTTTTGGGAAGGGAGATGGTGCTCAGCCAGCTCGTCTGCTGCTCCCAAGTCCTGCTGCAGCCCCTGGGGTAGGGTGGCACAGCCATCCACTGCCCCATGGCTGCCTGGGGAAGGATTTTCCCTTGCAGGGCTGGGAATGGGACCCAAACTGCTACCCCTGGGGGAAGTCACCAAGTCCCCAAGTGCCAAGGTGGCTGTTGGGCACCCCAGGCTCAGCTGAGCACTTGGCTTCCCAGGCAGTGTGCCTGGGAAGCTGGGGCCATGCGGGGGGTCCTGGCCGGGGCGGTGGCTGGC